TTTACCGATGTGACAAGGAGCAGACGCATCTTCTGATTTTCTTTTCATTTATTATTTTCTTTCCATTGGAGTGCATTTTTTAGCCCCACAGACTTCAATAGGAGTGCATGAAAAACACATGTAACATGCATTTTTGTGCGTTTAAGCATGTGACAACAAGCCCCACCCCCTAGCCACCTATAATTTAATTAATTTTCATTGGTCAAAACAAAACCGCATGAAAAAGGCACAACAAAATGCACTAAGGGCTCGTTCACACCAGGTCCGTGGTTCGTTGAAATGTCACATGACCTTTCATGCACCGCAGTGCAGGGCATAGAGTTGCAGGGGCGTCCCGAGGCGGGGTGTCACCCAGGGCGGGTGCCGGGTGACATCCCGCCATGACGTCATGCGCTGTTACCTGCCGGCAGCCATCTTGGTGATGGACGCTGGCAGAGAGAGGAGTGAATATTTATCCAGCGGGCCATCGGGCCCCCTCCTCTTTCATACAACTGTGCAGCTTTTGCTCTATGACCGATTGCCTGACTTTTCAGAGGGGGGCGACACCAAAAACTCCACACACCACGGTACGGCGCCATGCACTGCGGTGCATAGAATGGAATTAAATGCCATTGCAAGGAAGTGACGAGCTGCATTTTTACACAACGCACACCACCGCACCTGCATAGTGAGAACAGGGCACGTAGGCAGCGATTCTTCTCCATGCACCCTTGCGTCAAGCCTGTGTTTGGTCAATGAAGCGCAACGCACTGGGTGTAAATGAGCCCTTAGGCCAGGGGTGGGCAAACTCAAACTCTCCAGCTGTGGTGGAACTACAAATCCCATTAGGCATTGCAAGACTCTGACAGCCACAGGCATGACTCCCAGAGGCAGATGCATGCTGGGATTTGTAGTTAAAGCACAGCTGGAGGGCCTTAGGGTGACCATACACCATACGGATCTGAATGTACAATCTCCGAGTATATAGTGTAGGGACCTGCACGATCTGATACTTATTGGATTGGTTGTTTAGGTTTGTCCTCATAGTTTTAAAGGAGATTGTACAATCAGATTGTAAAGTGTATGAACAGCTTTAGTGCATGGGAGGTCAATGTACCAGAGCTAAAAAGGGGGGGACAAGTGAAGAGGGAATAGCGGGGAGCTATGTATACCTATAGGTACCTACTCTGTAATATTCTCTGTAGATTCCCTTCAAAGTCCAGAGCCCACTGATTCAATGTGCAGGTAGCCAGGGTGACCTTTCTGCCCATAGTGCCAGGTAGGTAAATGGAGGTGAGCCGGTGGGAATGGGATCTTTAGGTTTCCTATGCAGACTGATACATTGTAGCCAGTGTCACTGTGACATTTCCTCCTCTGTACACATGTACCTCCCCCATCTCATCACTTCCTGGCTCACACCACGCTTGGCAACATTTCCCAGCAAGCAATGTGGGAGACGGGAAGGAGATCTGTAGCCAGTGTTCTATCAAAAGCTCCAATTCGTCGAACTCTCCAACTACCTCACTGCCGGGTACTTGCAAGTTGGAGATTTCGAACAGACTGCGTTACACTGCAAAACACAAACACTGACGGAGATCTGTACAGCTGCATTTTTTTTTACAGAAATATCTTTTATTAAGTTTTGCACAAAGAACAGGTCGTAAAAACATACAATAAAAAACACAAAGAAGGGGGGAACAATGTACAGCTGCATTTTAACAATATTCAGCAGGTGGCAAACTCGACGAGTATTGTAAAAACGCTATGCGCGCATGTGCACCGCAACTGTATAGAACTCCAGTCTTTCTGAGCACTGGAAGTGAGGTAGTTGGGGATCTCGATGAGTTGTAGCTTTCGATAGAACAACGGCGATCAAAAGATTTATATCTACGATTCTTTGTATCCTCAGATCGGGCCGGAGCAACGCAATCTTCTCCAGGAATGCAATGTGCATGTAGTGTACATGTTTATAAAGCTTGGATTGTGTTTCTTACGCTTGTTTGTGTTTTAGATGCACTTTGTGCTGTTGGCATTTTAAACCAGCCCCGGGGTGCCGTCTGGCTTCCTCAGGTGTGCCTCGAAATTTTCACACAGCATTATGCCTTGTCATTGTGCAGGCGGGCTTCTGATGTGAAGGGGGAATTCTGATGTAAAAAGGTTAGGGGGGCTCTGATACAAAACAGGGGCTTCCAATGTAAAGGGGGAATTCTGATGTGAAGGGGGGCTTCTGATGGGCTCTGCTGTTTGTTTACTATGTCCTGGCAGCGTTGTCTAGGCAACCAGGTATGCTGATCGTGAGCTTCGGCTCCTACCCACTTTCATCTCCAGAAGGAAGCAGGAATCCCTCGATCTCGGCTGCTGTCCACGCCCCTGGGGTGCCAGGATGACCGATGGCGTGGCCACTAGTACAGCAGCGATACCGCCCCCGTCTCCTAACTGTCAGAATACAGGCAATTCCCAATTTCTTGTTGAGGGATCCTTGCTGCTTTTGAGGTATATTTCACATTTTAGACATTGCCAGCATCTGGGAGCAGGAAGAGCAAGTCAATGAGAGATAGGGTTGTCACCTGTTCGGGATCCACCTGGACAGTCCGGGTTTCCAAGCAGCTGACAGCCGGACACAAGACATCGGCACTTAACATTTTTTGACAGATGCGGCTGCTGAGGTCCCCAGCAAGTGCGAGACCTCAGGCAACCGCATCTGCTTGAAGCTTCATCTTCCTGTGAGCGCCTGTACAGGTGCAGGCCGGCCGCACATCTCCTCCTCTGACACAACGCTGCCCGCCTCCGGGCCCCTGGTGAGACCCCGCACAGCAAAGCTGGCATAGCCCACCTGAGACCCCACACAGGCACCTGAGAGCCCACATAGCCCACCTGATAGCCTGCATACTCCACCTGAGAGCACATATAGCCCACCTGAGAGTCCACATAGCCCACCTGAGAGTCCGCATAGCCCACCAGAGGGACTAGGAGGATAGGTATAGGTCCTGGGAGTATAGGTCCTGGGAGTTTAGGTATAGGTCCTGGGAGGATAGGTATAGGTCCTGGGAGTATAGGTATAGGTCCTGGGAGGATAGGTATAGGTCCTCTGAGTATTGGTATAGAGCCTGGCAGTATAGGTCCTGGGAGTATAGGTATAGGTCCTGAGAGTATAGGTATAGGTCCTGGGAGTATAGGTATAGGTCCTGGGAGGATAGGTATAGGTCCTGGGAGTATAGGTATAGGTCCTGGGAGTATAGGTATAGGGCCTGGGAGGATAGGTATAGGTCCTGGGAGTATAGGTATAGGGCCTGGGAGGATAGGTATAGGTCCTGGGAGTATAGGTATAGGGCCTGGGAGTATTGGTATAGGGCCTGGGAGGATAGGTATAGGTCCTGGGAGTATAGGTCCTGGGAGTATAGGTATAGGTCCTGGGAGTATAGGTATAGGTCCTGGGAGTATAGGTATAGGGAGTATAGGTATAGGTCCTGGGAGGATAGGTATAGGTCCTAGGATTATAGGTATAGGTCCTGTGAGTATTGGTATAGATCCTGGGAGGATAGGTATACGTAGTATAGGTATAGGTCCTGGGAGTATAGTTACAGGTCCTGGGAGGATAGGTATAGGTCCTAGGATTATAGGTATAGGTCCTGTGAGTATTGGTACAGGTCCTGGAAGTATAGGTATAGATCCTGGGAGGATAGGTATAGGTCCTGGGAGTATAGATATAGGTCCTGGGAGTATAGGTAAAGATCCTGGGAGGATAGGTATAGGTCCTGGGAGTATAGATATAGGTCCTGGGAGTATAGGTATAGGTCCTGGTAGTATTGGTATGGGTCCTGGGAGTATTGGTGTAGGCCGGGCCTAGGAGTATCTATCTGAGAGCTGCTTGGTCCATTAGAATGCAGTAACTGCTTATTTCGGTACTCGCTGATACTGAGTACCGATACCGGTACTCCCTCTAGCATGGAGGGGGCTTCCCGGGCCTTATCCGCCGCCCGGCTTCCTGATTGGCAGGATCGATACTGATTGGCCGGGATGCCGGCTTCTCAGTCAATCAGCATCGAGCCGGCTGTTTGGTACTAGTGTCGGTATCGGTGCGTTCCTAGTCATCAGTGTCAGTTTGCCTGGCATGAAAGTTTCCTCCATCAGGTGCAAAGGTCAAATTATGGCGATGAGACAGAAGATGGAGAACTCTTTTAGGGTGACAATGTTCTATTCCAGTCTCCCCATTGTGTTTTAGCATTGTCACCCTGTCACATGGGCCTTTGACAGAGGCTACCAGTGGCTGTAACACAGCCCTGTGCTCTGGATTTTGAATTTCGCTCACAAATGGCGAGCACTCATTGGTCAGCGCGGTCTCCTGAGCACGCTTTTTCTTAGCAAGAAGCACTTCTCATTGGTCAGCAGGGTCAGACATGCTTCTCATTGGTCAGGTGACTGCGCTTACCAATGAGCGCTCACCATTTGCGAGCAAAATTCAAAATCCAAAGCGCAGGGCTGCGCTACATGGATGGTACACCGGCGGAGGGGAAGGAGTGTTCATCGAAAAAGGAAAGTATAGCCGCAGGGGGGAGAGGGCCAGATTGGTGGGGGTAATTCCATGTTATCAAATTCACCTTAAAGGGAATCACCCTTTAATGGCACTCCAGTGCACTACAAGTGCAACTTATTTTCATCTGAATTGGCTGCTATTAAGCAACGCCCGTTAATGTTGGCGATATCTCCCTGCCACAGAATCAGTGACACGCCGTCCTGCTGCTAAACAACTCCAGGCTAGCATAAAGTTTTTTAAAAAGTTTTCCGTTGTCAAAATAAAGTTTTCCTTGTACAAAACTTGGCACGCTGGGAAGTGTAGTTCGGAGTTCACTCCTGCCGCCCTCCTTCAGGCGGGCCTCCGTACCGCAGAGAACTACACCTCCCAGCGTGCAGTGCGCGGCCCCCGTCTTCCGCATCAGGCAGTGTTTGGCAGCTGGAGAGGTTGTTTCTGCTCCCTGTGCGATGAGTTCTAAGTGTCGACAGAACACCGGTGTTGTGTAGAGATGGAGTCAGATCCTTTGGTGGCTCCCCTGGACCGGAGCTGGTGCGCAAACCCGGACTTCAGCGCCTCTCAGGAGAGGCCTCACAGAACCCGGATAGGCTCCTACTCCACCACTGCATCCTCTGGAGGGGGGCCCTTGGAGTATGGGGGGCCCCTGGGCAGGAATGGTGAGATCTGCACTGCTGGGGGGGTCATTCATATTAAGGTGCATGTGCCTAGATTTGTAACAATGCATTTGTATGTTGGCAAGAATAATGAAGAGATGGCACCAGGATGCACTATGGGGAGAAGACAAGCCGGCGGAGGCAGTGTGATGCTTTGGACAATGTTCTGCTGGGAAGCCTCGGGTTCTGTCATTCATGTTGATGTAACTTTACACATACCACCGACCTAAACATTGTCACTGACCAAGTACACCCCTCTCATGGAAATGGTATTCCCCGATGGCAGTGGCCTTTTTCAGCAGGATAATGCTCCCTGCCACACTGCAAAAATGGTTGAAGAATGGTTTGAGGAACACAACAACGAGTTTGAGGTGTTGACTTGGCCTCCAAATTCTCCAGATCTCAATCCCATCGAGCATCTGTGGGATGTGCTTGAAAAACAAGTCCGTTCCATGGAGGCCGATCACCTCACAACTTACAGGACCTAAAGGCTCTGCTACTGTCGGCTTGATGCCAGATACCACAGCATACCTTCAGAGGTCTAGTGGAGTCCAGGCCTCAACGTGTCAGGGCTGTTGTGGTGGCAAAAGGGGGGCGTACTCAATATTAGGCGGGTGGTCATGTTATGGCCGGGTGGTGTGTGTGTATGTATGTACCACTTTCTCATAGGAATTAATGGAGATGCAAAATACCAATTGCTTGGCTGACAGAAACCACCATTATTGCATATGACACATGTGTATGTTGTAGCGTCATTCATGCAGTTTTAAGACAGAAGGCCCCACACCCTTTCTTTATCATGCAACACATTTTATGACGTGGGCCTGGTGACTGATTACTAATTATATACAAATGCTGAATCATAATTTCCACACGAGCACAGCTGTCATCAATTTCAGCTAATCACCATGTACACTGAGGTGGGTGAACCCACGATGACTACAGAGCTGCCTTGCTGGAACTGCACAGCGTGGTGCATGTCATACAGATGTGACCATTTCTGCTATATGCTGGGACACGGATATATTTTGTCTGCAGCTCTGTGTATCCTCTACATAGTAACGTCTGACTCCGGGCAAATTATTATAGTTTCGGATGCAGTAGGGAAGAGTTGAAAATGGTGTCATGATTAATGAAGTCGTTCATTGGCATGGTTCATCGTGCTGATTTGGTAAATGAGTAGGGGTACTTATTCATGTTAGGGAGGTGGGCCCCAGGGGCGTAATCTAGAAATCACAGGGCCCCATAGCAAAATTTTGTATGGGGCCCCGTGATTGCTAGTTATGCCACTTGCAGAGCCCACCTGATATACCAAACAGCCCACCTGAGAGTGACCCTGCAGAGCCCACCATAGGATCTCTATAGTGGGCTCTGCAGGGTCTCAGATGGGCTGCACACCTCTTGCCTGACAGCGATGTCCGCCTCCGTGGTCGCCAGACCCCGCCTCCTCTTAGTCCCCGGGCCCCGCCTCCTCTTAGTCCCCGGGCGGGGTTGCTCTTAGGTGGGCCCCGCCTCCTCCTTCACTGCAAACGCCGGCCTCTTCACTGCGAACGCCGCTGCTGAGCTGTGTCAGTGACAGCCAGCTCCCTTACATGCCATAGCGGCCTACGCGGCATCAGAGGGATGCCCTGGCCGGGCCCCCCTGTGCCCGGGCCCCATAGCGGCCGCCTGGGTCGCTATGGCGATTTGTTACGCCACTGGTGGGCCCCCTAATTTTAAAGGGAGCTTCCAGATTCTGATAAGTCTCCCCTTCTGCACACGCCTAAATCCTCTTGGGGACGGCATGTGGGGAACAGATACTTGGCCTCATCAGCATCAGGACATGGTGCTTTTCCGTGCGTCCCCTCTGGAAAGGCACCTTCCCCGTGTTGATGGCATGTGGCCTGGTGTGGTTTGGGGGTTGTGTGGGGGGGGGACTCCGTGCTTCCTGCCAAATGGTATTTGCTAAATGTATTTGCATCAGTGCATGTCCCCTTTAGCCGTGCCCAACTCTCCGAACCCTTTGTTTAACAATCCCTTGCCAGTTGAAAATGGCCAGAATTGATTTTGAAGCTCTGGCTCCCATTGGCTTCAGTGGGGTTGGGCTTAACATTCAGAACTTTGGAGCAGTTTGGCAAACCTCCCTTGAACGAAACCCAGGTACATTCGGCTCGTCCCTATTAAAATCTACATAAAAAAATATATTTATTTGTTTGTGTAAATAAGAACTTTTGCTTCATCTGCTCCAGCACCCCTTGCATCTTGTCTGTCTGTCTGTCTGTCATATAGTTATCAGATTACGATTGTTGTCACATTAGTGGCCCAATAAGAGTATTACGGAGTCTGTAACTCATTTTTTTTTCTCTTCAGGTGCTGTGTGTGATCATCTTGGTAACGGGTGTGTGCATTTAGCGGGTCTTTTCTGCCCGTGCGTGCCCGCTAGGGGGCGCGCGCGAGCAGAAAAAAATTGCCGTCTGGAGACGGCAACCCGCAGATGCTGCAGTGCCGTCCGTCCGTTTTTTTACTACGGGCGGACGGCAAGAGGTTAAACTCTCAAACTTTTTTCAATAATAAATCGAATGCATTAAACGGCAAAGGATTTCTTTAAATAGTTACCGAAGCACTTACAGTCATCATGTTTCCGACCAGCTCCTATTCTTTCAGCTCGGCGTCCCTAAACTTCCTGTTCAGTACAAGATCACAAGGGACAGAGCAATCTCCAGCAGCTGTCCGTCTACTAGCTTGGGGATGGGAGGAGGAGAGTAAGAGAGCAGGGTTATGTCTTGCCCTATTGTGTCTGTGTGTTTGTGGAGACACACGCACAGCTTACTAGCACACACAAGGATGGCTCCATAGGACCCTGCAAGGGAAAGGAGCCACCCTAAAACAGGATATGAGGGCCAGTGCTCATGGAACAAGCTGGCTCTGAAGGCAGCTAAAAACATCAGCAAGGGACAGCATCCATTGTAAGTGATTTAATAAGCTTTTAGAATGGCTTAAAAACCTTTTGACTTTAGTTTCACTTGACATTGACTGACTTGACCTCGGCACTCCAGCTGTTATGGAACTACAAGTTCCATGATGCATTGCAAGACACTGACAGCCAAAGGCCTGACCTCTCGGGGCCGAAGCATGATTTGTAGTTTCACCACAGCGGAAGTGCCGAGGTTGCCTACCCCATGATCTAATGTCTATGGCAGGGGTAGCCAACCTTTGGCACTCCAGCTCTTGTGGAACTACAAGTCCCATAATGCACTGGAAGACTCTGTGACCCAGTCCTAAAGGTTTCCAAATGATAGCAATGTTGGCTATAGGAACGTGTATGTGAGTAACGGCTTATGAATAGCTGGAACAAGAATGCTTTGTTAGTATTATTTTTCATGCCCTGGCTTTGTTCTTTTGTTAACAGTATCGCTCCATAGACCATCGTGTTGACCAGAATTCTCTGCAGCTGTATCGATGGTATTATTCTAATCTGTGCCAGTGGTAAGCTCTTCCTTTTATTTATTGCAGCGTACAAAACATGCTGTGTGTTGTATATAGGCAATACATTGTGAACTATGCCAGATAATCCCGATCTCCTTTATTGGGCATCTCCATGGGGTGGATATTCCGGCAGTAATTTAGACAGTTTTACGCAGAACTCCAACTAAAACACATTTTTTTTTCTTCCCATTGGTTTTGTCCGTGGATGTGTTAAGGTGATGAAATGTTTGTCAAGTAAAATTTCACCTCACTTCCTGTCCCCATAATCGCGTAGGAAGTGAGGGTAAGTTTCCACAATATGGACACCAAAAAAAACAAACAAAAGACTGGGTTTCTAACTCTTCACCTTCTATAAATAAGTGTGTGGGGTTTTGTTACTGGTGGTTCTTTTTACTCCCTGTTCCTGTCGCCTTGCTGGGTGTAGCAATCTCCCCGTATGGGAGGGTGTGGGGTGTGGCACAGACAGAGATCCCAGCCACAACTTTATACAAAACTTGGAAGAAAGTTTTGTCAGGACTTTATGTAACAGAAACAATGGAGTGGCAGTAAGACACTAGAGAAGACACTATGGAAACTGTCTGAAGGTGGTGGGTGGACATGTAGATGCTAGAGAGGGTACAGACTGTCTAAAGATGGCAGGCAGGGAGACACTACAGCAGCTTTAGCCTGTCTGAAGATGGCAGGCAGAAAGACACTTGAGTACCTAAAGGTGTTTGACAGGGAGACACTAGAGCGGCTGTAGATGGAAGGTGGTGGTCAGGGAGACACTAGAGTGCCCATAGACTGTCTGAAGGTGGTGGTCAGGGAGACACGAGTGCCTATAGACTGTCTGAAGGTGGTTGTTGGGGAGACTCTGAAGGCGGAGGGCATGCAGTGAGACATTAGAGAGGCTGTAGACTGAAGGGGGTGGTTAGGGAGAACCTATAGACTGTCTGAAAGGTGGTGGTCAGGGAGACACTGAAGGTGGAGGGCATGCAGTGAGACACTAGAGAGGCTGTAGACTGAAGGGGGTGGTTAGGGAGAACCTATAGACTGTCTGAAAGGTGGTGGTCAGGGAGACACTGAAGGTGGAGGGCATGCAGTGAGACACTAGAGAGGCTGTAGACTGAAGGGGGTGGTCAGGGAGACTGTAGAGAACATATAGACTGTCTGAAGGTGGTGGTTAGGGAGACACTGAAGGTGGAGGGCATGCAGTGAGACACTAGAGAGGCTGTAGACTGAAGGTGGTGGTCAGGGAGACACTAGAGAGGCTGTAGACTGAAGGGGGTGGTCAGGGAGACACTAGAGAGGCTGTAGACTGAAGGGGGTGGTCAGGGATACTGTAGAGAACATATAGACTGTCTGAAGGTGGTGGTCAGGGAGACACTAGAGAGGCTGTAGACTGAAGGGGGCGGTCAGGGATACTGTAGAGAACATATAGACTGTCTGAAGGTGGTGGTTAGGGAGACACTGAAGGCAGAGGGCATGCAGTGAGACACTAGAGAGGCTGTAGACTGAAGGGGGTGGTCAGGGAGATACTAGAGAGGCTGTAGACTGAAGGGGGTGGTCAGGGAGACTGTAGAGAACATATAGACTGTCTGAAGGTGGTGGTTAGGGAGACACTGAAGGCGGAGGGCATGCAGTGAGACACTAGAGCGGTGGCAATGCTAATTTGATGCAGGCTATTAAAATCGCTCCAATTACCAGTTGTATTTGTTTATATTGTAAGGTACTGCGCACACTGTTGTCGCTATATAAATCCTGTATAATAATAATAATTTGTCAAAATACAAAAGGTACTTTTATCTTTTGTTAATATATAATAAATAAGATATTTCTAATAAGATTGTAAATTACTGTAGTGCTGCCAAAGGTTGAATGTGCATCTGCATTTGCTGCCGTCCTTAAACTGGACTTTGACCTGCCCAAACAAAGGCTCTGGAGATATGTTTTACACTTTGGGGGTGGTGGGTTTTTGGGGCTTTTATTTAATCCCATTGAATAACCTTTAGTAAACTACTGAGACTTTTATTTATTTTTAATAAATGTTTGTCTACACACATGTATTCACTCGCATTCACTTTAGATTGATTAGCGCTGTGCATTGATTTATATTTCATTTTTTAGACCGTAAGGATCTATATCGCAGCAGCTTTAAATTCATACACTTCACTAATTTAATTGGTAGTGTTATAGATCCATTGGAAATAGTAGCGCTGCCCATTTAGTTAAAATTACAACCTCTTTATTTTATTATCTATTGTTTACTTTTGAAGGATCCTGAATGTGACCATATTTGTGAATCTGGCTCTTGCCTTTATTGAGAAACCCTCATCCCTAACTGTGTCATCAGACGTGCGATACCGCAAAGCAGCCTGGGAACCACCCTGTGGACTGACGGAAAGCTTGGAATTTGTGACCTTCCTCGTATTTATCACCGACCTTTCTGTAAAGGTAATGACCAATACTGGCCAGCTGAAGTAGATTAATACGTACATTACACTAGAAACAAGCTATTAAAGGAACCCTGTCACCAAACTGAAAGATGTGCCCATAAAAGTAAATATTTCTCCTTCTACCCGCACTAGGGAACACATCTCCATTGAGAGAAATCTCCTGCTGATGTTTCTTCACCAATACATCCAGGAGTGTGGATCTCCTGCTTCTCTGCTGCACTCAGATGTTCTCCATTGGAGACCCATATGTCACTGCAGGACACAGTAGTAACATAGGGTGGGAGCAACCACTGAAATCAGTTTTTCTTCCTGAAGGCAATTATGTCCAAATTCTTGAGGCATGTGACTGAAGTTCCTCTATTTTGGATTTGGATTTTTGCCATGCAACCCATGTGTTTCAACATTGATCTAGGAAGGTCTATTCACTGGAAATGTGAATGTATGATGAATAAGAATCTGGTTATAGTACAGAGTTTTCTGCCCATGTAATATAAGGATGCGACTCTGTTACTGTTGCATTTATTTGTATATTAAAGTGACCCTAAACTCAGGAGTTAAATCTTAAAAATGTATTCAAGTACCTCAACTATTAACAAAAAATCTTATTTGTGTATCACTCGGCTGCAGATCCTCAAATCATCTCTGAATTGGTGCTGACACTGTCCTTCCTTCTGGAGGGGGGCTACTTCTAATCCCCAGTTTAGTGTCACTTTAACGTTCCCTGGCAGGATGGCCTGTGCCGAGGATACGTTCATATATGTTCTCCCGTTTGATACCCCAGTAGTCCACACCTCACCAGGCTGCTGCATCTCAGTTGGGGATGTCCGTGACAAACCGTGTCCCCGCTGACCATCAAGGACCACAAACTTTTGGTCACGTAGTGTATGTATTAGTTGGGACCATTTTTGTTTTAATCACAAATGCTATTTCTTCTATGTATGTTTCTTTTAGAGTTATCTAATTGGCTGGAATGAGTTTATAAAGAACAAGTGGCTGCTGTGTTACATCCTGGCACTCTCGGTTTCCGTCACAGATTGGACAGTATCTATGTGCTTCATGTGCAGAGAGGTAAGGGACATACAAACTGCAGCAATGTCATTTTTAATCATGAAAGTCTTCTTTAGCTGGACTCCGGGCACACTGCTAAATACATTAATGGAAAATGATTTATATTTGTATCTAGTGCGGAGATTTTTGCAGCTCTGGACAGTGGAGCTAGGTTGATGACCTGACTGATGTATTCACAGGCAAGGCCACCCCAAGCCTGTGATTACTGTTGCTGTGCATACTGATAGATTTATCTCTCTGTACTCTTCTTCTGTCAACATGTTCCTTGTTTAGTACAATCCTAATTGGCTACCCCTCGCTCTCACAGTCTGTGTTCTGGCGTACAGGATATTGCAGGCAGACAAGTTAAATGCCAGTACTTTTACTAGTCTTTACAATATAAATGTAAGGAATTTTGAACATAACATAGCTGCATTCACACACAATTGTCGGGATCCGCTTCAGCTGCGGCTCCTCAGTATACAGCTCGCTGTATACTGAGCCTAGGGTGACGGGAGGACGCTAGTTTGTGTCCTCCCGTTACCCTAAGGAGAACCATGGGGAAAAGACTTAACCCCATAGTTCTCCTTTTTAAGAGCTAAAAATTCCAGCATTCTCCTCTGTCTCTTTAGTAAAGCTATAAAGTACATAAACTGAAAAAAACACTGCTCTGGGACCCCATGATGGCCAATACTCAAATGCCTCATGAAGAATATTTGTTTTTACAGGATCTAAAGTGAATCATTTTTATTGTTACAACAGCACAAATTTCCCAACACACTCACCAGCCTACAAAGACGACATTGTCTAACTATTGGGGTTAGAAACAGAGGTTTTAGCTGCACAACTTTTGCAAAATTTGTGGAAGTCACACACTGCCTCGTCATGGCCCCTCTGTATAGTGTGGTCAATTCATTTTCATAAATAGCTTTAAAGCGAAGTAGACATGGAAGGGCTTTACACAGTACAAGAGCAAAGAATTCCCATCACACTTGCCAGCCTGCAAAAAACACTATCCTAACTATTGGGGTTTAAAACGGAAGTCTTAGTTGCCCAAGTTTTGCAAACTCTATGGAAGCCACACTGCCACTAAATTGATGAGTGCGTTTGTTTCACTTGTTGGATTTGGTGTGGGGACACTTAGGGGGGCTTCAGCTGCCATTGTGATGTGTGGGGCTCCAGGTGTGTCCCTATGCCTTTTTAAGGAGATTGGGCTGCCTCCCGGCAAACCTGCTCCCAATTCATCCTTTGCTATATATGCTCCAAGATGGAGGTGCTCATAGATTAGAGTTCGGACTACACTATACAGAGGAGCCTTGACTCAGCAGTGCGGCTTCCACGTATTTTGCAAAAGTTGTGCAACTAAAACTGTGTAAAGCCCTTCCATGTGCACCTTGCTTTACAGCTAGTTTATGACTTGATGACTGTATTTGCCATTTGTTTCACTCATTTTTAATGGTGACTCGATATAATAGAATGCTTGATTGACAACTCATAAGTATTTGAATAACGTGTTTTCTTTGCCATGTCCTTTGTTTGTGTTTTATCATTCTCAGGGAGTGAGAATTAGAAGACTACTGCGGCCTTTCTTCCTTCTCCAGAACTCATCCCTCATGAAAAAGACTCTGAAGTGCATTAAGAGAACACTACCAGAGATGGGAAGGTAATAAAAGCAGATATTGCTTTCCTACTTTACTCTTAGGGCAGGTTCACACCATTTTCCGGACCAGATCTGGTCCAGAAAATGGTGTGAAGCTGCCCGCAGTTGCAGCGCATTCCAGACCAGACAAAATGAGACATGTAGTATTTTCCGTTCTGGAACGGACTGCGCTGGTGTGAACAGAGGCCAGAAATAGCGTAGGGATACATTTTGGGTCCGGAAACAGTCTGGTCTGGAGATGATCTGGAAGTGTGTGAATGGGCCCTTAGGGGTAACATAGTAAGTGAGGTTGAATAAAGACCAAGGTCCATCTAGTTCAACGTGTGTGTATATTTAACACTTCCCATATCCTTGTATATTTAGTGGCTGAAGAAACTCATCTAGAAGTTTCTTGAACTTATCTACGCCATCAACGGATACCACTGCCTGTGGAAGGGAATTCCACATTTTTACTACTCGCACAGTAAAAACTCCTTACATGTTCTAAGATTGAACCCCCTTTCATCTAACCTCTTGTTATGTCCTCGTGTTCTCAATACAGTTCTCGGTATAGACAACTTGTTCTGAATATTGTGGTCCCCATTGATGATTTTGAAGACTGCAATAAGGTCCCCTCGTAATCGCCTCTTTTCCAAGGAGAATACGTTTATTTGAGACGGTCTTCATAGCTCAGGCCTTTAATTCATTTTGTGCCCCTTCATTGAACTCTCTCAAGCTCGAGGACATCCTTCCTGAGAGTTGGTGACCAAAATAGCACCGGATCTATTTATGAAAAAAAATTTGCAGAGCGATTTGTCCAGTGGAACTGCATGTGCACTTATTATGCGTGTGAATTACTCAGCTGTTGTTGAAATGGGGTAAAATTTGAAAGTTTTTAAGCCGTTTTCTTTCTTGTCAAATGTTCAGATATTATGGGTAGTTGTAAAATAGATTCATTCAAAAAGCGTAGAGTGAATTGAGAAATGAATGCATTATGGCCACTAGATGGAGCTGAGGATCATATAGAATGCACTTCTTGGAAACAAGAGATACAATGTAACATGTCTAAAGAACAAGCAAATTCAAAGAGGCAAAAATTAGCAAATACATTTAAAAATTGCTGCTTCGGGGATCCTTGTGGTAGCAATGTTAATTTGCAAATTCCGACCCTGCTGAATTCAGCAAAATGTGGTTTGTTTTGTTTTTAGAGCTCCAGAGTAAGCCTTATCATACACAATGCAAACAAATTACATACAACTAAAACATTTTCCATACTGTCTGCTTTCTTTTTAAATTGGACCTCTCACAGCTAAAGGTCCCCACACACCTTACAATAATCGTACGATAATCGCGGGAAATCCAGCGATCGTACGATTATTGTAAGGTGTGTGGAAGCCGTGCGACCTCTACTACTGTAAGGTCGCACGACTTTGAACATTGCGGTCATCGGAAGCCCGCCCCTCAGGGGGTGTGGCTTGCGGTCATCGCAAGTACGATCTGCCTATGCAAGATGGGCAGATCGTACGTTTTTTTAAGTACCTTACAACCATCGCAAGACAAAAGTCTTGCGATGGTTGTAAGGTGTGTGCCCAGCCTAAAAGTGATTGAGGTGTCCTTGTAGCTAAATGGATAAGCTGCAGTACTGATCATCAACCTGCAGGGAGAGCTATAAAACTGCTGCTTCTGTTTCCACATGTGCCGGTGACCGGTTGTTGTGGGATATAACATGTTTGGATTTTGCCTGCACAATATGCTTTTGAAGTGAGTGTTTTTGGGGTTTTTTTGCTCATGTTTTATCTGTAGTTCACGTCCCAGGGATTTTGTAACAGATGGGTTTAGCTGAAGGTAACCTCCCTTTTTTTTTTTTTTCTTTTTTTTTTTCTTTTAAGTGTACTTATGCATGTGTATTGATTGTAATAAGACTAATACCAAGATTTTTTTCCGAATAGTGTGATGCTGCTGCTGGCTTTACATCTCTGCCTGTTTACTATGTTTGGTATGCTGCTGTTTGCTCATGCAAAGGTAACCAACTCACTAAGGAGGTATAAGCTGCATCCTTCTTCTATACTGAGTCAGGACTCTAACCTATTGCTGTTCCTAATTTAAAAAAAGATTCTGTCCGATACCAGGTGTGAAAAGTAGGTTTGGACCATAAATGGAAATGAAGGATCTCTTCAAAGGGGCACTAACATTTAACTTGATGTTCATGAGTTATGTAAATGTACTTTTGTAAAGCTACTTCCCCAGAATTCTCATCCTCCTGCACCTGTAGTTGACTCACTTTCAGCTTGTTGTTTGACATAAGCCATCCCTGGCATGCTTGTAGTTCTAAATCGAAGGATTCTTTGTAGTAAAACTTACTACCGAGGACAGTTTTGTAAGCCTAGCCTTGCTTATTTATACATTAGGGGGCTGAGGGTATTAGCTCCAATATTTTTTTTTTTTTTTTACGTCTAAACTGATGCAGGCCTTCTGATAGGTCATGCAGTTTGTATGCAGTCCTCCTTTAGGTAGTATAGCATCTTCCTTCCTATGGCCTTCACTGATACATGTTTATATACTGTAGATGTGATAGTTGGGTGTCCACACCTTTTGGCTATATATAGTGTACTTGCAGGATTAAAGTGTCTGTAAACCCCAAAAATAATATTGATATTAAAAGCTCCCTATCAAACTTGTGTAACTATGTGTGCTGATTATTTTTTCACAAAGAAAACTTTAAGAAAACTGTTGATTTCTGCCTGTTGCTTTCTCTTGCTTGCTCCTGATGGCAGCCCTTTGCTGGCTGCTCTAGCCTTTGCAGCATTGCCACCAGGGCACACATGGTCTTCCCATGGAAAAGCCATGCTTGGTCCCCTGCATACCCCAGTCACATGCTGGTAATTGAGAACAGCTCTACTTGGGGGTCTCACTGTCATATTTGGGTAGACCAGAGCAGCATTGTGCTCAGCGACCTTACCAGATCATGTGACACCCATTTAATTTGCACCTCTCACCAAACAAAAGGTTTGTATGCACAACCTCTTTACCTACTGAGACTATAAGGGTTCACACACACATTGAATAGAAGGCAATGTGTGTGTGCACACACATGTATATCCCCCCTGCACCTACCTGTTACCACAAAAATCTCAAAATCACTTACAAAGGTGGAAATGTCCTTTTAAGGTTTGGTAAGAAGCTGAAAACTGTCTGTAGCTGATCAGGGCAGATGGGTTGGGGATCCTTATAGCTGGGCTTTCACTGTATATCGTATTGAAAATGGCTGTCAGTGGTTAGGAGAAGGCAGCATTGTTAGACAATGTCCCGGTTAGTTTTCGGGATTGGTCCATCTGAAGAAGACCAGACAGTGTAGCCAATAGAAAAGGCCCATCGGCTTTGGTATTTTATCTTTGGTGGTGAGTGTCTGTTTTGGTTGCTAGATTGGTTTTCACATCCCCTCATTTATAATACTGAAGATGTGACATTTGCCATGTACGGTGTTTGCACTATTCAAATGGTTTTATGACGGATTTCTATGTTCTGTGTCGCTTCTAGGATTCTAAAGTGGACGTAGAGTGGCTGAGATATTTCCGCAATCTACCGGACTCGCTCACTTCACTCCTGGTGCTGCTGACAACCGCCAATAATCCAGACGGTACAGCCTTATTCTTTCACACGGGGATCTCAGACACCATAGCAAAACAAATTCTGCCCAATTATGTACAGGTTGGATAGGATATACATATCATTAAGAAATGGGCTACGGTTGGAATGTGCTTTTGAACAGTTGGGTACGTTACAAGGCCTGGACACAGGGGTGAGATGTCAGTGGAGGTGCAGCATGATATCTTCATAGGTGCCTGCAATGCCATTAGGAAGCGTACTTAAGAGCTAAAGTAATGTGTGTACACTCATGCACCAACTTATAGGAAGGAAGACTTTGCCCCAGAAACTTCATGCACAATCCCCATTCTGAATAATTGCCATCCCTTTGATAGCTTCCAGTGGATACTTTGTGCAGCTGCTAGATGTCAAATCCACTGTGGTTCCCACAAACCATCGGGGTGGTACCTGATATGTCTGAAGGCTTCTTCAGAAAAAAAATGGTTTCAGCTTGCAGAGGCCCCTTGTAGCCTGTAGGTGGCAGGATGCCTCTGTTTAATACTGTAACTGTCTGATAAATCATAATTTAATATGTAAACTGCTACTGAATTTGGCTTCACTGATCTCTGGGCATGAAGGGATTGAAGGTAAATGTTAAGCTGATGTAATGTTTATATGTAAAATAAAGATTTTATATAAGGTTTACCCCTGATGCCAGATTCACAGAACATAATTGGATTCTTAAACACAGCAGACACTGCTTTAGATTCTCTATCTGAACCCTGTTAGGAGAATTTTGTGCCCAACTTTACAGCACACCTAATTTATAGCATACTATATTCTGATAATCCATCTGTGACCGTTTTGTGTGCATTACTGCTGAGAAAGTAATAGGTTTCCCTCTCTTATAACAGTGATGCTTCCAGCCTATTCCTACAACAGAGCCTACTCCCTGTTCTTCATCTTCTTCACAGTTATAGGTGAGTCTCTGTGGTAGAGTCCCAGCATTGTGAAGTTTTATTATTATCGTGCCGCTACTTTTGATATGATTACTGCTTTTCATTTATATGACTTTTATAGTTTACAGGCTCAACCTGTAACACAGATGATAAAATTGTGAAATTTGAGATAAATGCAACTTAAAAGGAGAACTATGGGGGTAACCTTTTTATCCCATAGTTCTCTTTAGGGTCACAGGAGGACATACACTAACCTCCTCCGGTGACCCAAAGCTCAGTATATAGCTGGCTATTGCCTGCTATATACTGAGAGCGCTGCAGCTGGGACAGATCCCGACAATACTGTGGAGATCCACCCAGCTGGCTGATTGACAGCGAGCTCTGTCTATCTAGAGGCAGAGTCAGTTGTGCCTGCTCCCTCCTCCGTACGTTCCTCCAGTCAATTGTGTTCTGAAATGTAACGTAGTGAACTGACCAACTATAACCAGAGGAAAAGCAGGCAATATTTAAGGCTATCTGTTATTCATCACACTTGTAGACCATGTCAGTGGTTGCCCCTCTATACCTTCACTTAGTTGAGAAGTGAAAAAAGTGTCCAAAAGTTTACTTTCACAACTGATAGAGGTTTATAAAACTGGCGTTCACATTATATGTAATGTCCCTTTTTTTTTGCACAGGCAGTCTTATTTTGATGAACTTGCTGACGGCCATTATCTATAATCAGTTCCGCGGCTATTTATTGGTAAGGTCTGTGTTGGGAATTTATGAAAAATGTAACAAACAAAAGTAAAGCTTATAGTAAGTAATTATATCTCTGATACAATAGAGATCACAGAAAAATAGGGCTGGTAATGATTAAAATTTTCCTATGATCGATCAAAGAAATTAACGATTAATCGACGGATTAATCGTTAATTTCCGCACCTCTACAGAAAAAGCATTAAAATTCATTGGTGGGTGCAAACAGCCCTTTTTATTATTGAACTGTGGGCAATCTTTCCAAGCTATGACTCCCAACAACTGTGTAGAGGAGAGCTGGAATGGCGTAGGGATTACCCAAAACGCTGAGGCCTAGTCGCATCCATTCATTTTCCGTGAGTAAAACACATACATTTTACTGTATCTCATTCCTCTGCATCTCATTCTTTCCTGTGTGAGGGGCTTGTATCTCTGCACTGCATTGTTGTGGTGTTTTAAAGGAAAACTATGTGCAATACCATGTGTAGACGCATAGGTGCGAATGGGCTCTGAAGAATGTTGTCATCTGGCCAGAATTTTCATCTCACACGTTTGGAATCTAAATGCATTTCGATTGGCTTGTACAAAACCTTGTGCAAAGCCTTCTTAGAAGGTTGGAGGCTTATAAAGCTTTTAAGGTCCAGTGGGGACACTCCATATTACTGTCCTTGGTTGTGGAAATGGATGTCCCACAAGCTCATATAGGTATTATGGTCAGCTGTCTACAAGCCTGGACATATCATGTATGGTTTGGGCACACTGTTTGAGATTTCAGAGCATGTTTTAATGTTGAAGGATCAGCTAGTTATGTTAACATGGCTTTTTTTAATTTTTTGTACCCTCAGAAATCTGTTCAGGCCTCCCTTCTTAGACGGCGTTTAGGAATTCGAGCTGCTTTTGAAGTCCTTTCCTCCCACAGAGAAGTCACATCGTGCAATTGTGACCAGGCGTAAGAATTTCATTTTTTTTATATGATGGTCACAGACTAGCTTTGCCTTGTGACATCCAATCTGATGACTCTGTTTAGTCAACAGCAAGGTTGCCTTGGCCCTCAAAGAAGGCTGCTCGAAGTGCAGGCTTCATAAAATACTGGGCATTATGGTAACAACGTGTCTGAAGGAAAAATTGCTTTGTTACTAGTGCTGTATGGAAGGGATAAGGGGAAAATCACAGCAAACAGTCAGTCAATCTTGCAATCTACAACAGGAAAATGAAAGATTGGATGTGATTGGTTGCTATGCATTTTTAGGGGATATATTCTCTTAAATTGTATCTGTAGCCAATTTTTTTTTTTTTTGGCTAAACATGTGAAATGATTGGAAACTCTATTATGATTTTTTTTTGTTTGCATCCCTGCTGGAGAGATCCACCCTCTCAGTTTGTCCTACCGATTGTTAACAGGACAGAAAACAGTGGGTATTCCAAATCTTTTCAGTAGGGATGCACCGATATATCGGCCAAAAATTGCACTTTTGGCATAATGCCGAAAGAGCCATGTTTCGGCCGATCGACGCATCCCTGGTTTCTTTTGTCCCCGCTGGGCGCTGCTCTGTGTTCCAGAGGGGAGAAAAAGTGACAGCCGGCCGAGCGCTGCAGGACGAGAGCGCTGTGAGCGGCCGGCGTCTCTCCTCCCACACCGCTCAGCCGCCTATCACAGTCCGGCAGAGCGGTGTGGGGGCGGAGACAGCGCTGTCACAGGAGGCTGGGCTTTCCTCTCTACACCGCACGCTCAGCCTCCTGTGACAGCGTGTCAGAGAGAAGAGCAAGATACACACACTCAGTGATCAGTGATCGCTGAGTGTGTGTACATAATTGAGGATATATTATGTTAGCTATATCCTCAAATATGAATGAATGGGAGTGATCTACATCACATCTACATCACCCGCATTCATTCATAATTGTAGTTATAGTAAACAAACAATGTTCTCATGTTATCAATGAACAGGAACACTCATAGAGGATTCCTGTTCATTGATAACAGGGGACACAGAAAAAGAGATTGAGGACTTTGTGTTCTCAATCTCTTTTTCTATTTTATAAGGGAAATATCAGGGGTCTGTTTAGACCCCCAATATTTCCCCAAAGCCCCTAAAAGTAAAGTAAAAATAAAAATATTTCATAAATTAATTCATAAATAAAAATATAAAAAAATTAAGTTTATAAAAAATAAAATATTTGAAAAAATAACATTTTCGGTATCAGTTTCGGCCTGACATTTTTTTTAAATTTCGGTTTCGTTTTTAAAATTTCCATTTCTGTGCACCTCTAGTTTTCAGCCATGACTCTGGACACCTGCCCAATGATAAAAGGTGGGTTTCCCCTCACTTCTTGTTCTGTTCTTGGAGTAGGAAGTAAATGGAAATCTCTTTGTTGGGATCCAGAAAGCAAAGGAATAAAAACCTGATGGGGGGGTTTTAATCATTCCTTAGGTAGATTGAGGATGGGTTAGAATCTCTGTTGGATTTTTACTGCTAAATATGTGAAAAACAGTAAGGGTGCCACACCAATGGCTATAGAGTCCAACACGCGCTTTTGTAGAATAATTTGTGAAATAAGACAGCCAGTGCATCTCAGCGGTTCAAACCCTTTTAACTTTATTTAATGTTTGTGACCTAAAAAAAAAACTGAACAGTCCAAAATAGCATGCATCCCACCGCACTCCAAACTGGAATCCCAATGTAGTCAAATGGGTGCTGGTGTGACCAGCCGATAGCATCATGTAAATCCAAATATACAAGTAGTCACACCAGGTCCAGCTGTCAAAACACCTTTATTTAGACGCTAGGAATACATGGTAGCACTAGTGGACAGCAATGTTTCGGAACCATTAGCGGTCCAGTCATCAGGCAAACATAGTGATAACCATACAGAGCAAAGTGACATATACAGTGACAAACCATTAGAGGAAAATAAAATCCTCAGCCCTCTCCTTGGACTGTACTCGGAACGATGTCAGAATTCTCACTTTGCTCTCTATGGTTGTCACTATGTTTGCCTGGTGAAGGGACTGCTAATGATTCCAAAACGTTGCTGTCCACTAGCGCTGCCATGTATTCCTATCGTCTAAATAAAGCCGTTTCGACACATTGGGCCTGGTGTGCAGATGACTATGTGTATACTCAAAAATGACTGGACACAGTGGGATTTAGATCACCCTTACTGTATATATATAAAAACTCTAATGGTAACACCAGCACGTTTCTCAATGTTTTTTTTTTGAGGTCAAGGTTATCATATGTAAGCTCTGATAAAGGGTGAATATTTGACTTTTACACGTTGGCTCTCTAATTTCTTTAATCAATAAACAGACTGTGTTGCACTCTATAACCATTGGTGCGGAGCCCTTATTGCTTCTCACATATTTGGATCATATTCTGGACCCCCCTTTTGGTGGTGATTTAGTACATGGAAGTAGCCTTGCTGTAGCAACTCCGCTTAATCGATGAGATGGCCACTCACAATGCTGGATATGCTCCTTATGCATGTACCCCGGATTGCTGTTTGACTCCATTGGGAAGATTTCCCGTCGCATTTTATCCATGTGACTCGGGGACAAGTAGGTCACCAGGGATAGTAATATACATCGAGCAATTTAACCTCATGGAAGTTCTAATCCTTCCACAGTCTACTGGTGTTTTTGATGCCGTCTCTGTCCCTATTGGAGAGATTTCCTATTGCGTCCTGTCCCTCCTGTCCCTCTGATCTTCTGCCTCTTGTAAGAGACAATCTCTCCAAATGTGCACAGACAACATATAAACCTTTTATAGAGCAGGGGTAGGCAACCTCGGCACTCCAGATCTGGTGCAGCTACAAATCCCACAATGCCCCTTCCTCTGGGAGTCATGCCTGTGGCTGTCAGAGACTTGCGATGCTTAATGGGCCTTGTAGATCACAGCAGCTGAAGTGCCGAGGTTGCCTACCCCTCTTATTGAAGTTTTTGCCCTTGCACATGCTATAGAAAACTAATTGCTGGAGTTCATCTGAATCTGTGATCTGTCTCTTTAGAGCCTGTGTTGACTGTGAAACCTTCATTAACGTCTTAGAGGAAGTCAAAATGGACACCTACTGCAAAATAGCAATCATCGAGGTAAAGTCGGGGTGGGGCAAAGACATGTAGAAATAATGCATTCTATTTCTATAGGTTTTTCGTAAGAAAACCATACTTTTTTTTCTTCATTCTAGCAAGCAAGATGCATCTCCAGTGGTGTCATCTCTGCAGAGCTGTTTCAGAAACTATTTGATGAGCTCGATAAGGATCCCATCAGACAGGTACACAAGGTTCTAGGGTTTATGTGAATGTATCTATTGGAAATTATGATTTCTCCTATTGTTTATTAGGTACCCCACATTACTTATATGCTCTGGCTGTGGGAGGGTGGACAGTAGCGAGGTTTGGTTCTTCCTGTACTGCTGATTTTACCTCATTGCTCTCTACTCAGCAGTGTGGGGACAAAGTCCTTTGGCACTCAAGGCACCCCAAGCTGCTATAGTAGGGTTCATTTATAAATGAGTGAAGGGCAGGATTTGACTGTCACACTGACAGCTTAGTGCTGCAGATTGTACTGGAAGGTCACAGCTTTCCTAGTGTAATCAGTGCAGCTGTTTGCAGCTATCCATGTATCGGGAGCGTATACTGCTCATAATAGGGTGGCGGCGGCTGTCACACTGATTGAAGAACTCTGCTATTCAGTCAGTGTGTGGAGTCAGATCTCCTAGTGTAACTTGCACCACTGAGATGTCACTTTGACAGCCCAGTCCAGCATTGTGCATGAGATAGCCAGAGTGATGCAGAAGAGGCCCTGCCCCAGCTGCGCCTCCTGGAGCACAGTGCTCAAAGCAGTGGCCTCTTTTGCCTCGTCCTGGTTCTGCTGCTCAGTACCTGCTTTTTCGATTGTATCCACCTGTTTCTGGTTTTGCCTTTTGCATATCCCAAGAGATAATTGTGTGTGCACATTCCAAGAGACAAATATGTCCACTAGTGTATTATAAGAAATAGGACTTTTTTTTTTTCTTCAATTAACATGAAATGATTTTCTGGTTACTTGTGAAATTGTATGTATACATATATGTATATATAACATTTTTATCTTGAGAAATTAGTTTTGTGTTTTTTAATGAGAATCACTGCACCTCAGTTATTACTGTGGGTGGGCTTCTCTCTCATCAAAGATGAATCTCACAATTCAGTAAATGCAAGGACACTGCCAGATGTGTCAGACTGCTGGTGATTCAGCAATGAGCTCTGTACAGATTCCTGTGAGCTGCATTGAGCAAATTATATGATAAGGATTCTGGGAATTCCTTTTTATAAACTTGATGGCTGTTGCAACGGTTGCTAGGAACAAAAATCAGATTTTCTTTCTGAAATGGAAAGGTAATTGTATAATGCACATGTCTAAATGTGAAAGTGTTTGTTTGTTTTTGCAGCACCCGCCCCAGCCTGTGTACCAGTCTAGATTCTTGCAGATTTTGCAGATCATTGGAAGCCATCGGTACTTTGACTATCTGGGGAACTTTGTGGCTTTGGCCAATCTCATTTCTATCTGTGTAAGTAGCCGACACAAAGAACAAGAACATCAAGGGGGGAGCCACCTTCTCACAATTTGAGATTTCATTGTACTGTATGCCTACATGGATAGGATCTCCACCTACAGCCACCCAGAAAGGCATTCCTAAACAGAAGTGCAGCCAACATAAATTTATCAACACATATAGGATGTGTACATTAGAGTTGGAGCTTGGCTATAACCACTCTGTACCACTTTTCCTCATAGGGAGAGCTACCTGGCCATGGACACACACCTACCTACTTTTTTTTTACCGTCAATGTTTTTTTGTGTTGGGTTGTTGGCGATCACATAGAAAATTATTTTCTTGGCATTTAATTTCTGTCTAGGTTGTTTTGATGGTCGATGCAGAGAAAGCTGGGAGCGAACGTGACGACTTCTCTTTAGGCGTAAGTACCTCTTGCAGGTTTTTTTGTAATGTGTGTTTTACTTAATATTAGGGATGCACCGATACCAAGTACAGTACTCGGTACAAGTACAGATACTTTTCCAGCTCCAAGACTAGACTAGAGAAATACTCAAAAGTTAGGAGGCAGCTGTCATTTGTAAGGAGCACACGGAGCTCCTGGGATTTGTACATCTGTTTTAATGTATGATTTTGTTTATATATATATATATATAATGCAACAATACCATTTTTTCGAGTACTGATACTTGCCCAAGTACTCACAGATACAAGTACTGATACATTTTGGTTTAGTGTCATGTGACTGTTTTTCTAAAACAATACAGACAAATTATTTCAGGACAGTGGTGGAGTGCCAGAGCCCGGTCCCAGCTGCAACCTCTGCATCCCTGGTAGTTCTCGTGAAAATGCCAAGTATCGGCACTGGTATCTGAAAAGAATCAGTGCATCCCTAGATAATATGATTGCTTAATGTGTACATTTGAAGAAACCCATGATTAGCTGTCATGGTGTTGTGTTCTTGATGAAGAGACCCTATGCGGCTCCAAAACATTGTTTGCTTTGTGAATGTGCGTCAATAAAAGACATACTTGCATCGCTATTCGAGTGCCGGTGACGTTTCCTGATCTTTATTGGCTGTCATGGTGTTCACATGATTAGGAACCAAGTTGATTTGTTCCAAATAATTATCTGAGACCCGCAGCTGTCGGTGTCTCAGAACAGGTACATCTCCTGATTCACAGCTAAAATGTAGATGATTGTTCTCGCAGCTGTACCTGGAAGCATTAGTCTATCATTTCTGTTGTCTAATGGTTACAAAGTAAGCAAAACAAAAACTGTCTGTTCTGTAACTCTTCCACACCATTATCTGCAGGCCATCAACTGTTTCTTCATCCTGTACTACGTTCTAGAGATGAGCCTGAAAATCTTTTCCTTGGGAATTAACAGCTACCTCTCGTACCCGAGCAACATTTTCGATGGGTTTCTAACAATCATCTTACTGGTAGGATATTCTTAGTAGCAGCCGACGTGTATGTGTGTGCCGTGCATGCTTTCAGATTATTAGTTTTGATGTTATTTTAAGCCTTAGACTTACAGATATAATTGAGAAACTTAAAGGAGAACTATGAGGTGAGTGCTTTTCACTCACCTCATAGTTCTAGCCGACCTGTGACAATGAGACTGTCACAGGTCGGCTCAGTAGATCGGGACGTGAGCGAACATATACCTGCGTTCGCTCACCTCTCGATCCTGTCATGGCTCTCTGCCGTGACAGGGGAGGGGCTGGATTCACCCCTCCCTGCTCCGATTCACCATCGCTGACTGGCGGATCGGACGGGGGAGGGGGTGGATACAGCTGGCTCTGCCTCTAGATAGGCAGAGCCAGCTGTCAGTCACGCAGCTGGGCGGATCCCGGCATAATTGTCGGGATCCGCTTCAGCTGCGGCGTCTCAGTATACCGCGAGCAGCAGCTCGTGGTATACTGCGGCGTCTCAGTATACCGCAAGCTACAGCTCGCGGTATACTGAGCCTAGGGTGACGGGAGGACGCTAGTCTGTGTCCTCCCGTTACCCTAAGGAGAACTATGGGGAAAAGCCTTAACCCCATAGTTCTCCTTTTAAGCTTCCAGTTGCTGTATAAGAATGCTAATACAAAGCTTAGAATGGAACATGCCTGTGAAGGTCTGGGCTTGCTGACTATTCTTATTCCGTCAGTCTTCCAATTGCTTCTTCAGCCTATTTGGATATTCCCCAGCATTTAAACCCTAATGGGTAAGTCCATTTACAATAATCCAGTTACACTATAGTAAGTTTGTGGACACCTGACCATCAAACCTGTATGAGCTTGTTGGACATACTATTCACCAACCCTGGGCATTAATATTGCATTGGGCTCTTTTGTGGGCATAACAACCTCCACACGTCTAGAAAGCCTTTCCTGAAAGAAGTGTGTCCATCTATCCAAAAGAGCATTTCTGAAGTCGGGCACTGATGTTTTTAGGGTTGAGGTCAAGGCTCTGTGCAGGCCACTCAAGTGCAAGGACATAGTCCTGCTAGAGAAGAAAAGGGCCTTCCTCAAACTGTCATACAAGGTAAACCTATAGAGAAGGAATGAAAGACAGAACCCTATGCTCACAGTTACCCACAGTTGATCCAGAGGAAGGCAAAAAAAAGAACACTTGTCATGCATCTCTGCATTGGTACATAAGGCTGTCCTTCTCCATTTTCAAACAAATCTATTCTCTTTTAGGTGTTGGAAATTGCTACCTTTGCCTTATACAAATTCCCGCATCCTGGCTGGTAAGTTGGGATATTTTCTTTATATTATCACAATACACAATGAAGACAATACTATTTCTTTATAAAGAAAAACTGAATCTAGTACAATATATATTATATATACACACACACACAGTGGGGAAAGAAAAGAAACCCCCCCCCCCCTTTCAAAATCACATTTTGTTGCTTTGCAGCCTGAAATGAAGACAGACACAGTTTTTGTTTTATCCAGCTGTATTTACTCAGTGCAACCTATAATATCCAAGTGAAAGATATAACACCAGCATGTCATAAAAAAATGTTCAGAAACAGAATCACTAAGCTGGAAAAAGGATCACCCCCTTCACTTCACTTTGTTCACCCCTCCCAACAGAACCCAACCAGCTTTCTTCACACTCATGCTTCTCCATTCAGCTGAAGGGAGCGACGCATTACCCCCACTTGTGGGTATGGGGGCATGTGACTCACTCCCCCTTTCCCATGTTACAGTCCTACATATCCTGTGATTGACAAGGCGCTGTCACATGGGGTTGAGGAGTCAATAGCGCCAACCAGGAATCTTGTTGGAAGGAAATCCAGTGACATTTTCCGATTGTCTTGTCAAGAAAATGGTTTATTTAAAATGAACGTTCTAATAAATTACAATATCCTGTCTTTGCTGTATATTCCAGGAAGCCAGACATGCAGGGCCTCTTGTCTCTCTGGGAGATGGTTCGTCTTGTCAACATGTTTATTGTTTTCAGATTTCTGCGAATCATCCCAAACATGAAGGTGGGTGCATTTTTATTATCTTAGTTTTTTTGTCTCTAGTTTACATTCCCTGGGACCACTTGACAAAGTTAGGTGCAAAGCAAATTGGGTAAAAAGTCAAGCAGTTCCCTGCTGAAGCAGCAGAAATCTTTCACAAAATGCATATTTAGACTGCAATGTTTAACCTCCTCTCAAAACGCTGGTTGCCTTTTTAATGTCATAGTGATGCTCTTGCTTCTGTATGCTTAGAGCAGTGGTGGCGAACCTTGGCACTCCAGCTGTGCCAAAACTACAAATCCCAACATGCATCTGCCTCTGGGAGTTATGTCTGTTGCTGTCAGAGCCCTGCAATGCCTCATGGGACTTGTAGTTCCAAAACAGATGGAGTGCCAAGGTTCGCCACCACTGGCTTAGAGTCTCAGACCCAGAACAGGTACGCAGGTGAAGAGTTATGACTCCACTGGCCATATGCTTGTTCCAGATTACTGCAGTCAGAGGCAGGCGGTAGTTTCAGGAGAACTGAACTGGCCTTTCCAATATATCTGATAGATTTCCTTAAAAGTAAATCTTTTCATTTCTGAAGCATGTAAACACAGAGCAGATTCTGGAGGTACCATTATTGGCTGTTGCAAACATGTTGCTGGTTCCTTTGTAGTCCAAGCCAAATATATAGTGCTGTTGCCCATACAAAAATTTTGATCAAACTCAGCATCTAAGGGCTCGTTCACACCAGGGTAGTCTGCTGAGGTGTGTTTAACACACAAAATAACTTTTAATGTGTTGAGAAATTCCACTTGTTTGCATGAGCTGCCAATGCAGCACAGTGTACCAAAAATCGGACATACAAGAAATATGGCTAGCTCGCTATGGCTAGGCATTTTGCAGTTTGCCTTGAGATGCCATTTTCAATGAGTGCCACTGCAGCGCACCAACATGCATTACTGCAATGTCCTGGTGTCAATTAGCGCTAAACTGCGTTCTCCATATCTAACTTGTCCCCCATGCCATGGTATCTTTCACATGGTTACTGTGATTGACAGCCTGACTTCACCTTTTCTATACTGTGGGAGTGGCAAGTTGGCAGCAACCAGAAGGGGGGGGGGGGGGAGATAGTCGTGTCTTGGGACACAGACTGGAGTATTTGTTCAATGCACCAGTGCAATAAAATAAACAAGCTAAGGTAAATATGCCTATATACAGTATATACTGCAATACAAGCACATTTACCCATCTTTTATCTGTTCAAAATCTCTGCAAGTACAGACAAATACCTTTTTTTTTTCATCTTCCAGAAATCCAGTGAGCTGCTATACACTGTGTGTAGGGAAAGTAAAGTTGTTGCACATTATAATTAGTCAGGAGTTGATCTTTATGAGCTTTACTGTCTGGCCTGCCCTAAAAAGACAATGTTGGGGATCTGTGTGGTAATTTTATCCTTGGTCATTTGTCATGACATCATTTTCTATTCCTGTTACCTTGTAGGTGATGGCTCTAGTAGCGGGCACATTGCTGGATCTAGTGAAGAATTTGCGGGCGTTTGCTGGAATTCTTGTGGTAAGGATCTGCATGGTGTTGCATTTGTCAAATATTATTTGTCAGTTTACACTTAGATGATAGATGTACCTGAGAAAATGTCTTTCTATAGAAATGATTGGAAACTCTCAACTCCGCAGCTGCTTAAAATGCACCTGTGTCAACCAAATGCACTATGAAGTAAGAGGAGCCCGGAGCAAAAGAACAATGAAGCCAACAATGCTATCTTCCTCCTTTTTCATTCTAGTTCTTCCATCTTCAGTAATCAACTTTTTTTATATTCATGTAGCACCTGACTTGAACAACAGTTTGTTGCTGTGCTGGAATCGGAACACTCAGCCACTCTCTTTTGCTCCGGTGTCAACATGGTCTTGCTGCCTTCTCTCCGCCTCTTATTGATACTGTTAGGTGATCAGGAGGAGCCTGATGTGTTGAAGTGGCTCCTTGAGCTGGTGAGTCTGCTAGGGATGCACCCATACTTGTTTTTCGTTATCGACTAGGGGTACCGATATTTTTTTTCCCGGTACTCGCCGATATCAAATACCGATAGTGGAAGTCCCATTAACGAAGCCGGGTGGCATGTAATGACTCGCCCCCCGGTTTCCTGATTAATCGTGAAGCCGGGTGGTGGGTATTGACTCGCCGCCCGGCTTCTTGATTAGCCATGCAGCCGGCTTTCTGGCCAATCCGGAAGCCGGAGGGTGGGTAATGACTCGCCTCCTGATTTACCAGCTTCCCAACCAATCGGGGAGCCAGGCGGTGAGTCATTACCAACCGCCCCAGCTTCCTGACTGGCCAGAAAGCCGGCTCCATGCTTCCTTGTCACCTGGTGACAAAGGTCATGGAGACTACTCCCTGGCTAATTGGGAAGCCAGGCGGCAAATCAAAACACCAGGTGACAAGGGAGCATGGAGCCGGCTTTCTGGCCAATCAGGAAGCTGGTGGCGAGTCATTATACGCCGACTGGCTTCCTGATTAGCTGGGAAGCCGGTTCCATGCTCCCTGATGAAGAGGGAGCATGGAGCTGGCTTCCTGGCCAGTCAGGAAGCCGGGCAGCGTGTAATGATTTGCTACCCGGTTTCCTGATACCGGAAGTGCTGCTATCGGGTTAGGCATCGGGAGCATTTGGGCAAGTATGAGTACTTGCCCAAATACTCTATCGGTGCATCCCTAGAGTGTGGCTTTTTAATAGAACATGTACACTGGAACGTAGCAGTATTTCAGATATTGGCACGTTCACCTGATCAAGCAGGGGATTCAACACAGAGGGCTTCTGCTGATCTCGTAAAATTAAGTAGATAGGAGGGCGTGAGACCATGTTGCCATCAGAGCTAGGGCGACTGGCTGAGTTTGCTGCTCCCAGGACAGAAAACATCTGTATAGCTGAAGTCCGTTGCTACACGAAAATACAAAAGTTAATTACTGCAGATAGATGTGAGCCATAGTGACCCTGCAAGCACCACCCATCTCCACACATCAATTTAAAAATCGACTGACGCTGCTGGGTGAAAAATTGATGGCTGAACAATTACTGCGTCATATCAGATGCAGTGCTTGGCACCTGCGGCCGCATGAACTCAGTAGCCGGTAGTAAACATTTCCCCACAGCCTGCGGTTGGCTTGAATGGGGAAATCAAGTTAAAATTTAGCCATGTATGACCGCCTATACTTTTGAATTGATTTCCCTCTTATTTAGTTTTATTTCTACGTCTGACCATGATGCTTTAGCTGAAATTCAATATAACACAGATACTCTATTTAACATATGCTTTTTACCCAGCTACCTGACCCCTCGCACACTTTCTGTGTTTGTATTCTTTAGGTGGTATACTATGTTTTTGCAATCATTGGTATTGACTTGTTTAGAGGTGTCTTGCCAAATCCAAGAAACGTAAGGTAAGTTGTATTTTCTAATCTTTGGTTTCCATTGAATAATTGCATCTTTTGGATTTAATATATTTTGGAACTATTATCTTCTTGAACATAAAAATCTTTGCCTTGTATAATTGTTTAGTTCTCCAGCCAATGAAAACTCCACCAATGAGACTACACAGTGTGGGACCTTCGAGCAGCTTGAGTATTGGCCAAACAACTTTGATGACTTTGCTGTAAGTCCCATGACGAGATCCGGTTTTGTAGAAGTGATTGTTTCCCTTGCTTCATTTTCTTTACTGTGTGTCTCAGGCCGCTCTTGTGACGCTGTGGGACGTGATGGTGGTTAATAACTGGCAGGTGTTCCTGGATGCCTTTTCTAGATACACAAATCCGTAAGTAATGCATAAATAATCTTTATGTGGTCAGAATGGAGCTACATTTAAAAAACATGCACTCAAATTACTTGATAAACCAGGATGATTATCCACAGAAGGCTGGGGGTGTTGGCTGTTACTCGTGTTAGGTTGAGGTGTCTGTATGAAGCGCCTTTCCACCATGTTGCAGTTGGCTTATCTAATACAATAGAGAGAGTCTGATTTTTCTTTATCCATAGTATTTGAGTATTTGCGGTCCCTGAGGAAGTTGTTCAAATGCTTTTTGAATGATTCAGCACTCTCAGCTGATACCACTCTCGTGGCAGCGAGTTTCAGACCCTAACTGAGAAGAAGCCCCTTGTGGTTAAATATTTTCTCCACCAGTTTTAGGTGGTGGTCTCTAGTCCTTGTTATGGAGTTTACAGTAAAAAGTTTATTGCTGATGTTGCTCACCTATGCGTGGTCTGTAAGAATTGGCAAAACTGCATTCGTGACCTGCAGCAACATTCATTGATGTGAGGTTAAGTCAATTTATCATAGAAATCGACAGAGGTCCACTGGCAGTTGTTAAACTCTTTGTAGCAGAGCAAGAGTGAAGATATGGGATCCCCAAACCTATGTAAGGGCAGCCTCAGTAGAAAAACACTTTGACTTGGCTACCAGTACAGACCAACAGTAGTTTTCTCCTCACTTGGAATCCAGTTTTGAGCTGTTCCTCATGTAGGAGACAAAAACAATAAAACCGGAGTCCAGTGCAGCAGCTTGGCCTTTTTGGGCGCAGAGCACCTGACCAGGACATGTTTTGATGTCCCACTGTTTCGTTCAGCCACCAGTAGGGAAATAAAATACCTGGTACTTTTAGAGCATGCGATTTGCTCCCCTTTCTCCAACATGACAGTGATGCCGCTGAGATGCCCAATGCCGTCCTCACTCTTTGCAAACTCTTAAGTTCTGACCTAGAGAGTGCTTCTTCTTTTTGTTCTTGCTGCCAATTACTTTATCTTTGTTTTTTTGCCACATACTCGTGTCTAATGTGTTCATATATTTATTTATTTTCAGATGGTCAAAGCTGTACTTTGTGGCATGGTGGCTGGTGTCTTCTGTCATTTGGGTTAACCTCTTTGTGGCTTTGATTCTAGAGGTAAGAAGTCCGGCAATACTTGGGAGAGAGAAATGCGCTCACAAACCGCAGCCAACCAAACCGGTCAGCTCTGTCTGCTGCACTACATAATTCTGCTTATCCCCCACTCCCCTCTGCCCCTCTCCACATGCATAGATTGATTTCTTTCCTAGCAAGAAAATGCTGCCAGAGAGCCTGTCCACACACTTGTATGTAGGGAAAGGTCTCTTGGGAGATGTAGTTTGGGGGGGGGGGGGGGACATAAAGAGGAAATGATCTCCCAGCAGATGCCCTTGCAAGATTTTTATAAGCCTGGTGATGGCATCACAGGGACTATAACAAGCATTTTTTATCTTTAGGTCCAAAGTAAATGAAAAAAAAAATGGATCATAATCTTGAGGTCGAGAGGGAGGTTTGGGCTAATTTTTGGGTAGTGCGTGAACATACATTTTAAAGTTTACCTGTTAATGTGTGTTTATGGCTTCTTCCAGTTACATCTTATTGCATTTCTCCACCATACCACCTTCTCATACAGGTATATGAGACGTTTTTTAATTTCCTCATCCTATTTTTTCTAGAATTTTATCCACAAATGGGATCGTAGTTGCAGGCACTCACTTTCTGCAGCCCAACAAGTAGAATACCACATGACAGTCCAGCTCATGTTCAGGTGAGATGGGTTCCTGTCCCATATTACATCTATTCGATACTGTGAGATAGGGCAGTGATACAGTGAGTTCTGTGAATAGTGGAATACTGTTTTATTATGCTCATTCATGGTTTCAAAGTAACCGTTTTGCCCAGTGACAAATTATCTCACAAAACAATAGGCCTTCTATCTAAATAATGTTTTGAATGGAAAATGTTTTTCCCTATATCAACCAGACATATACTAGCGTCCTCCCATGACCCAAAGCTCAGTATAAAGCGAGCTATAGATCACTATATCCTGAGAGCGCCGCAGCCAGGACGGATCCCGACAATACTGTTGAGATCCACGCAGGCATTAACTTTGGAGGTTGAGGTCCTCCTGCAGCACGGTGTCTCGCCATGGTCACCAAACTTTGGACATGCCTCAGGCTCTCTTTCTATCCCTGGAGGTTGAGGTCCTCCTGCAGCACGGTGTCTCGCCATGGTCACCAAACTTTGGACATGCCTCAGGCTCTCTTTCTATCCCTGGAGGTTGAGGTCCTCCTGCAGCATGGTGTCTCGCCATGGTCACCAAACTTTGGACATGCCTCAGGCTCTCTTTCTATCCCTGGAGGTTGAGGTCCTCCTGCAGCACGGTGTCTCGCCATGGTCACCAAACTTTGGAGATGCCTCAGGCTCTCTTTCTATCCCTGGAGGATGAGGTCCTCCTGCAGCACGGTGTCTCCAAACCTTGGAGATCCACTACAGCTTCTGCATCTACTTCTTTGAGAGTAAGTAGACCGGTCCCAGGGAGTGCTGCTGTGGAAGCATGATACCTAAATACAGTGTGTCCTAGTCAGTGTTCATCTTTTCCATTTTACTATCTAATCTGTGAGAATCTGGTTGGATTTACAGGCTAAACGAACAGTTGTTCATGAAGGCATAGATATTTTCTTTCTAATGCTTGCAGCTAATATTGTTTTATATACTGCTTGAATCGACAGGGAAGACTTAGAAGAACCAACAGATGAGGAACTTCTAGACCGATTACATCATCACCCTCACCTTCATCTGTCCAGATGACCCACATTGTGTACAGATAAGTGAGATCAGAACTGGAGATGGGAAGTTATCACTCTAAGCTGCCATAACAAAAAACCTCTTGCTGCTTTTATTGATGTGAAAGCGATGACTTTGTGAAAATGGAATTTGGTTTATACCTACAGTGTATATTCCAGTACAAGGACTGCAGCCTCTCCTGCACTACAGTAGTAACTGATTGTGTCACCCGTCACATGGGCTGTTCTTATGGACTTCTTTTTGTTACATGGGGGTGCTTTGGTGCAGACAAGACTTTGATTCTACACCGGTAGCAATGAGACGCCTTAATTTTTCCTCTTTAGTATTTCGTATTGCAGTGTTAATTGTTTTTTTTTACCTTAATGACTCAGGGGAATCATCATACATGTCACTTGTGTACAGCAGGCGATCCACAACCAGTTATAGGATTCATCTGTAGGTTGAAGTCAACTGCCGGCTTCCTATATCTGAGGACTTGACCTGTGATCTTCCTGTTATAATTTCCCGCTGTGTTCCCAGCACCTCTTCTCGCGGGTTTCCACACCTGCTACTCCATAAAATCAAACGCATTACAAAGCCTGCGTGTAGGGTAGGGTCAGTCTACCCATGTAGGGTAGACTGACCCTTTAAAAAAACAACCATCTTTGATACTCTTTGATGTTGCAGGGCAGTGAATGCTTCAGTTGTATATACAATGTTTAGTGTAAAGCGGCCCTGTCTCTGTATTAAGAAAAAAGGTCCAGCTGTCGGCATCACATACTTACCTCTCCGTCAGGTGATGAATCAAATCTTTGTTTTCTATTTATTGGTGCCGCTGCTATTTGACACTTGGAGGTGTGTTGGATAGTGTGATCCCTGCTGGGCCCTGTGATTTTCCCTCTGGGTTCTCCATCACTCTGGTACGCAGAACCAAAAGTGTTAGAGAGCAGCATCAATGGTGACTGCAGAAGAAACAAAGATTTGGTTCACTGCCCACAGGATGCTGCAGGTAGACAAGAAGGTTGGTAGACTAAAAGCATCACTGCACTAGTAGATGCCCATAATAAGTTATATTGGCATTCAACAAGCTATGCCAACATGTTTCGGGACATTTATCAATGGAGTGGTGCTTTTATCCTCCAACCTTCTGTCACAATTCCACAAGGCTTATCTGAAAGGGTCCCCGGGAGTAAAAGCCGCCTGCTTATCTCCACATACCACCAATCACAAATTACAACCTACCAAAGTAGTTCAGCGCTCCTTACCGTTACCATTTAAAAAAAATAGAGACAGGGTCGCTTTAAGCAGAAAGGAGAAATGATATGTTGAGCTGATTGCAACAATTGGAAGGTATATTTGGAGTAAAGGCACAAAATCGACAGGTATTGACATGTACTAAGCTAAAACAAGCACTCAGGCTATTGCACATATGTTTACATACGTTGTGGGCTGCCCAAGTGTTCAGGGAGCCCTGTTGCCATCTGTTACAATGATTGGTTCAATAACCAATAGTACAGGAGGGGCCGGTGCAAAGCACAGCATCCGTTTCTAAAGCTCCCTGCATATTAGAAGTCCTCAGAGTCTATGAACATAATTGCAGGCACTTGAAGATCCTTGCCTGCGATATAGCAACTATAAAGCCAATGCATGTTCACTTTAAAGGTCAGTTTCCACCATTGCACCCTGGTTAGATGTCTTGATGAAATGGAAGTACAGCCGTCCTTTATATAAATGCAAGAAATTCAGTGGAAAGCATCATTATGTCAGACGCACAGGCTTACATAACAAGTTCAGGGTCTGTACTGGATCCCACTGAGAGAGCACAGCTGGTTCGAGCATTGGCTATTGGCTCCATATGCACAATGCACTTCTTTGTGTAGCTGACGGGTACACTGAAGACATTTTATAACGCTCACGGATTATGGACAGATTCCAGGATCTATGTCTTTGGATCCATGTAGAGATTTAAAGTGGCTTCAGATTTATTCAATAGTATAAGAATGCTGATTTGATAAACTCCACACCATATACATTGTTTTTGTAGATATCTGCAGTTTTAATGGATCAATCCTTGTGCAAATGCCATTCACTAGTTCCAGAGCAATTTGATAGGGATTTGGCATTAATCAGGTCATTGAGTATATTTTACTTTTTGGGTTGTTTTGTTTTTTTAAAGCTTCAAGAATATTTAAAGGGAATTGCCACTTCAAAGATTTTATATTTGCGTTTATTTGTATTGCCTTTGGATAAAACAGCTTTTCTACATTTGCCTTAAACATGTCCTGTACTAATATAGTAGGCTTAGGTAGAGGATCGTGTGTAAAGTTTAGTAGCCAATGACGACCAATCATTTATTTCCTACTTATCTGACTGCTGTGGGTTTATAGAATTGTACACACCGTCGCTCTTATCTGTCATGCCTTATTAATAGAGAAGCCATAAAGGGAACCTGTTGTAAGAGACCCGTCTGCTACTGTGTACATCATTCTAAAAGCGCCAATTGCCTGGCTCTCTCTGGCTTTAGTCTTTGTCGCTGAGCCAGAACGAGCATGCAGCAAGTAAAGTCGGCTTTGTGCAGCAACTTATGATCTGCATATGGTGAGCACTTTCTGAAGAGATCAGTAGTGTGAGCCTCCTCGTTTCTTTCACTACAAGTTACCTTTTAGGCCTCATTCACACGAAAAAAGGCCGGCACGTAGAGCTCTGTGCACGGCCGTATCAGGCAGCTCCCGGGAAGGACAGGTGCTGCGTGTGATTAGTACGCAGCCCCTGTCCTTCTCTATGGGAGTACACGACCATACGCCGCCCTACCCTAACCCGCCCTGCACGACCGTGCCGGTGTCCGTACTCGTACAATGACAGGATGGATCCTGTCTGCGTCCGAACCGGGACACCGGCACCTGTACGGACCTGCACTTGGGGAGAGCGTAGGGCGGCGTATGGCTGCGTAGTCCCATAGAGAAGGACAGGGGCTGCGTACTAATCACACGCAGCACCTGTCCTTCCCGGGAGCGGCCCGATACGGCCCTGCACGGAGCTGTAAGTGCCGGCCTTTTCTCGTGTGAAAGAGGCCTTAAAGAAACTGTCACCTGCCAATTCTGGACAGCATGACGGTGTCTGCCAATTCTGGACAGCATGACGGTGTCTGCCAATTCTGGACAGCATGACGGAGTCTCACTCCACCATCCTTGCTCTTGGACAGCATGACGGTGTCTGCCAATAGCCCATCCCCACAGCAAGTTGCACTCCACCATCCTTGCTCCTTCCTCACATAAACATTTTGAGTAACAGTTGTCATTGCACCTCAGAGATGGAAGGACTGACCTGGACTGCCCAGAAACCAGTATAGGAGTCAGATAGTATAGGCGTCTATCTCTGAGCTTTCCCGCACAATGACCCTCTAAAGTACAGAAGTACACTGCGCTAATCAGAAATTGTCTGCACACTTTGGCCGATGAGAGCTGGGTTCTAATTGTTTTTGATGCAAAAAACGACTTCTGCCACCCAAGAGTTCCTGACAATTCTGGCTATGGTCAGACTTTCTTCTCCGTATGATTTTCTAGTTTACTGCCTTTCAGACGTGCCCAAGTGTTCAGGGAGCCCTGTTGCCATCTGTTACAATGATTGGTTCAATAACCAATAGTACAGGAGGGGCCGGTGCAAAGCACAGCATCCGTTTCTAAAGCTCCCTGCATATTAGAAGTCCTCAGAGTCTATGAACATAATTGCAGGCACTTGAAGATCCTTGCCTGCGATATAGCAACTATAAAGCCAATGCATGTTCACTTTAAAGGTCAGTTTCCACCATTGCACCCTGGTTAGATGTCTTGATGAAATGGAAGTACAGCCGTCCTTTATATAAATGCAAGAAATTCAGTGGAAAGCATCATTATGTCAGACGCACAGGCTTACATAACAAGTTCAGGGTCTGTACTGGATCCCACTGAGAGAGCACAGCTGGTTCGAGCATTGGCTATTGGCTCCATATGCACAATGCACTTCTTTGTGTAGCTGACGGGTACACTGAAGACATTTTATAACGCTCACGGATTATGGACAGATTCCAGGATCTATGTCTTTGGATCCATGTAGAGATTTAAAGTGGCTTCAGATTTATTCAATAGTATAAGAATGCTGATTTGATAAACTCCACACCATATACATTGTTTTTGTAGATATCTGCAGTTTTAATGGATCAATCCTTGTGCAAATGCCATTCACTAGTTCCAGAGCAATTTGATAGGGATTTGGCATTAATCAGGTCATTGAGTATATTTTACTTTTTGGGTTGTTTTGTTTTTTTAAAGCTTCAAGAATATTTAAAGGGAATTGCCACTTCAAAGATTTTATATTTGCGTTTATTTGTATTGCCTTTGGATAAAACAGCTTTTCTACATTTGCCTTAAACATGTCCTGTACTAATATAGTAGGCTTAGGTAGAGGATCGTGTGTAAAGTTTAGTAGCCAATGACGACCAATCATTTATTTCCTACTTATCTGACTGCTGTGGGTTTATAGAATTGTACACACCGTCGCTCTTATCTGTCATGCCTTATTAATAGAGAAGCCATAAAGGGAACCTGTTGTAAGAGACCCGTCTGCTACTGTGTACATCATTCTAAAAGCGCCAATTGCCTGGCTCTCTCTGGCTTTAGTCTTTGTCGCTGAGCCAGAACGAGCATGCAGCAAGTAAAGTCGGCTTTGTGCAGCAACTTATGATCTGCATATGGTGAGCACTTTCTGAAGAGATCAGTAGTGTGAGCCTCCTCGTTTCTTTCACTACAAGTTACCTTTTAGGCCTCATTCACACGAAAAAAGGCCGGCACGTAGAGCTCTGTGCACGGCCGTATCAGGCAGCTCCCGGGAAGGACAGGTGCTGCGTGTGATTAGTACGCAGCCCCTGTCCTTCTCTATGGGAGTACACGACCATACGCCGCCCTACCCTAACCCGCCCTGCACGACCGTGCCGGTGTCCGTACTCGTACAATGACAGGATGGATCCTGTCTGCGTCCGAACCGGGACACCGGCACCTGTACGGACCTGCACTTGGGGAGAGCGTAGGGCGGCGTATGGCTGCGTAGTCCCATAGAGAAGGACAGGGGCTGCGTACTAATCACACGCAGCACCTGTCCTTCCCGG